ATAATTTACACACCTATCAAGCCGATGACACGTAGCATTATACTTATATAATTATCTATCTATTTATTATAACACAAGCTATACGAAAAAAAATTGTTGCTTTAACAATAAATATTTCGATGAGTTTATTAAAGCTAACACGAAGGGCGTGGTTATAGTATAGGACACGTCCTTAGCCTACTTTACGAACTGGTAATTCATATTTCAAAAATAGCTTCACTAACATTAGATAGTAGTCCCTTTGGTGTAACATTTAAAAAGAGACACGGAAGGTATTGACGCACTAGGTTACGTTCGTGTGTTGATAAGATTTGTATTCGGGCCTAGAATGTTGGTGAACACCGGTTGTTGTGTCACCGTGCCCCCGTCATTCACCGCCGATCGGGGCGGTCGTGTTCACATAACACGGCAAGTCAAGGGGTTATCACATGTTGTTTTTGGCCTACATATCTTACACTCTCGCACCCGGTAGCTTGGTGACGTAACAGTTTCCTTTTTAATTAATCGTCAACCTATTTTGATATTATTGTTATTTTTTTTTCCTTGGCGAATGCTAGGGGTTAGGGCTTAGAAAGTTTATCTCGAATAATAACGGATTCAGTAGCTTATTACGTTCAGGCTGAATGTGAGTGGGGGGGGGGGGGGCGTTTGTTGGTAATGTTAAATGTATATAGAAAATACATACTTTAACCATGGTCCGCCATTTCGGAATTTTTAAGTACCACCCGGAAGTTGCAAGTGCCACCCCCCTTCCCCACTCGGAAGTTTCAAGTGCAACCCCCCCCTCTCATCAGATCAATATGTCTGAAGGAAACTGATTTAAAGTGTTTTTTTTTTTTGTTTTTGTTGTTTTTTTTTTTTTGCTTTGTTTATTTGCAAAAACCAAGGCAACCACTGAACTCGCCACAGTAAACAATGTTGTCCAGTAATATTTCGCGTCTATCGGGACTCCATCGAGAATGTATCCGCAGCCCCCGGAAAATGTATTACCGACGACCCAGCCAGTGTTGGCGATAGACGGGCGACATATGGCAGTGTATCGAATAACCAATAACACTACCATCCATGACAGTGGCAAGCAGGATAGCTAGCACTCATCAGAACACCAGCGAACCCGATGAGCATTTCATGTTATAAGATACCGATATTTGTTCAAGTACATCTCGTTGTCGTCTGTCAATACAGTTTACATTAACTCAGAGGCGTAGCTACCCTTCCCATCGCCCGGGGACAAACTTTCGATTTGCACCCCCCCCCCCTCAAACTTTCGATTTACACCCCCTCTCAAACTTTCAATTTGTTTTTCCAACCCATTTTGAGCGCCCCCTAAGGTCGGCGCCCGGGGACATACGTCCCCCCCCCCCCCGTCGCTACGCCTCTGCATTAATTAGAAGTTTATAGTGTTATATTAAATAATCTACAATTAGTGTTGTTTGATGTGTTTTTTGGTCATTAAAAACATTTCTTTGCTCTAAATTATGCTTACCGCTAGCAACGAATGAAGTAGTGAAACCTCTCGTTATATAACAAAGGTGTTGTCAGTGCTACTTATGTTTCACGCAATGATCATCAGAGTTTCTTTCAGGCATTTCTCAGGAGGTCAGTCCCCTCCCCCACCCCCACCCTCGGAGCACGCGCGTTGACTACCCTGCCCCGACGTAATAGAAAAAAAATACAATTTATATAGAAAAAATATTTGAACCAGTATCTACCCCCTTCGTTTCAAGTGCACCCTCCGTAGAAAAATGTCTGAAAGAAACCATGATGGCCCTGATGGTCATTTATAGTAGTGTCAGACAAATACAATCAAAGTCACTCCTTGAGTACCGAGTAGTAGGCTACACGGTAAAACGTTTGTCTACAAAAAGTAGATGAATGTATTCAGAATATGCGATAACAACAATGTATTTAATTCTAATTATACAATGCAACAACAAAACACACACCTCCGTAACTGATAATACTAATATTCGTTTTTGTTAAAGTTTTTTTCTCTTCATCACTCCAAAACACGAAACTATGACCGTGGAATTTATGTTGTGTGTGTGTGTGTGTGTGTGTGTGTGTGTGTGTGTGGAGGGGGTGTGGGGGTGTGGGGGGTATGTCAAGTTTTTTTAATGTATCTTTTTTGCCCGGACACCTGATTAAAGGAAAACTATAAATAAACAAGCAACACTGATCCGTTAAAAAACGTGAGCTCCTTGTTTCCACTCCAGTCGTCTTTAGGCCGACATCTTGAGACCAGTAGTGGTCAGGAAGTCACCAATTAGCCAGAGGTTCATATAGTGGTCAGTTGGAGAGTTAGGATTTGCTACGGACAGGACGACACCTAAAAAAGTATCCACGTTGAAATTAGTTTAGAACATCCTTTCACGAGGGGATTAGTTTCTTTTAGGCATTTCCTTGGGGCACTGCACGTCCACCGCTCCCGGACGAAATAGAAAAAAAAAATTATAAAGAAATTTTTTTATTTTAACTAGTGTGCCCCCCCCCCTTCCCCCCTGAATTTTAAAGTGCGCACCTCCCCCAAGTGAAGTTGTGTTTATAAATGCGTGTAGCTTTAAGTAATGGGAGGTAACTTAGTAAATTGGTATGGTTTAGTATTTTGCTAGTTCCATCCCTTGATTTTTCCAGGTATTTTTTTTTTTCTTTCTTCTAAATAACAATTTGGCTTTTTTTTTTAAAAATAATCTTTATACTAAACACAGTAATTAGGCCTGAAATAAAACTATCACACAATTGTTAATTGTTACATAATGGTTAAAACGTAGAGCTGTCAAGCGAACGCCGCAAAAAGCGAAAAAAACAACAACTATCTACTGGATATGGGGAATATGAGTTGTTGACAAAAGACTAAATTCCAACACCAAGAGCGAATAGAGAGCTGTTCAAACTTTGGGTGGCAGTGGCAAGGTAATTCCCCATTGTAGCACTGTCGCTAAAAGTAACAAACACAGTTTCTTCCAGGCATCCCGTCGACCCTAACCTAACTTCCCCCCCCCCTCCACGGAAAATTAAGTCCGTCCCACCCCCGAGTGAAAACAGTCTAAAAGAAACACTGGCAACAAACCCCACTTCCACAGGAGCGCAATGTCATTTAGGCCATGAACCACACAAACCTTTTTTCCCCATTCATTGTTAGCTGGCAAGACGATAGTAAAGTAATCCCACATGTTATTTATATTTTAATTTTTCCCCCCTTGGCATTCATATGAGAATAACAAACCCAGTGCCGACATCCCAAGTTACGATAACCAGGGCTAGACTGGCCAAGAGTATGGGACATTAGGCCTCACTGGGTTGTGTGATAGTGTGATAAAGTATGATGTCACACTACCTCGCCACACTACCAATAGACATGGTGCTTTAGGATGGTTTAATTAATATGGGGATTAAACTAAACAACAGCGATGTTCTCAAGGGGCCGTCCATAAATGACGCCACACTCGTAGGGGGGAGGGAGGTCAGTAATTTTGTGATGGTGTGTGATGAGGGGGAGCGTGGTGTTCAGATCGTATGACGTCACACTTTTGCATTATAAAAAAGCAATGTTAGAAAACGAGTTTTAGCCGTTATTTTGCGTTTTAGAAAACGGTTTTAATAAATTGTAATAGGAATTGATCAAAATACTCGATGTTGACAGAATTCTGACAAGGTTTTTTGGAAATATCGATGTTTTAAGAAAAATTCAACAGCTATTTTGATGCGGGGGGGGGGGGGGGGGTTGTAGGATGAGGTGTGACGTCATTTTAGTAGGGTGGGGGGTGTCTGGCTTTTTGTGACGACTTGTGACGGAGCGGAGGGGGGAGGTAAAAACTGTCAAAAAAAGCGTAAAGTCATTTATGGATGACCCCCAACATAAAAAAACATGATCAAGTAATTACTAGGTTACTCATTTTATATTTTAAAAACCTTATCATATCTAGTAGGCTATGTGAATTTTTACACAGAACTGAACAGATATCGTGTTCGTAATACCATCATCGTCTGCAAACAGACAAGACTTTTGTTAGACAGACATTGATCGTAACTTGAGACGTTTGTAACACATGCATTGGTAGTAACCAGTAGCGTAGCGAGGGGGGGGCGTGGGGGGGGGACATATGTCCCCGGGCGCCAACCTTAGGGGGCGCCAAAATGGGTTGGAAAAATAAATTGAAAGGTTGAGGGGGGTGCTAATTGAAAGTTTGAGGGGGGGGGGGGTGCAAATCGAAATCTGGAGGGGGGGGGTGCAAATCGAAAAGTTTGTCCCCGGGCGCCGGGAAGGGTCGCTACGCCTCTGGTCGTAACTTGAGACATTTGTAACACGTGCATTGATCGTAACTTGAGACGTTTGTAACACGTGCATTGATCGTAACTTGAGACGTTTGTAAAACGTACATTGATCGTAACATGAGACATTTGTAGGCTATTTTGATACTGATTTCGGATTAAAATTAAGGATCGCTTATGATGCAATCAAATGGCCATGTTTCTGTTCCAATTTACAAGAACAGTCTTTAAACAAAGCAAAATAGTCGTAAAACTCAGTGCCTATAATCTTTTCGAGGGGGGGGGGGGCAGGCGGGAAACACTCATACCCCCCCCCCGAACAAAATGTAAAAATATTTTATAGATGAGTACGCACCTCCCTCTAAGTTCCAAGCACCCCTCTCCCTCGGAGAAAATGTATGATTTTAGAAATACTGTTATTTGCATATATTAATCAGACATTTAACAAAATAAGCTTAAAAATTAAAAGAAGTACTTTTATAAAACAAAAAACGTAATCAATTGCGGTTAACGTATTTATTTATTTTTTGACAAGAGATTTTTCAGTTAAAAATAAGTAGAACCCTAATGTAATCTTTAAAAAAAATTAGAATTAAATTTTCACAGGCTTTAGGCTTTGGGGGGTTCCCGTAAGAACAAGGAAGAGTTCCAGATTTTTAGTAATAGAAAGCAGACGAGTTCCTCGCAGAGCGTAGAGAAGTTCAGTACTGGAACCTTACCACTCAGTCTGTTAGCCTCGTTCTCACATAATAACAAGTATGCTATGGCGGAAGGTGTTTCCGTCCTCTCTACGAGAATGAGAGAAAACTTATTTCATGGAGATAATGTTATGGATAATATTGAAACTGGATCTCAGGGGAGCAGAGATGAAATTAGTGATCGAGATCCTGGATTTATTGAAGATAGATTTCGTGTGGATAGGAAAAAGCTGGAGCAAATGCTTCAACTTGGTAAGTTTAGTTAGAATCTGGTGGTAGCAGCAGTGATCATGTTGGAATGTTTTATAACAGTGATCTCCCCTGTTTCCTACTCAAACACCTGTACTTCAAATTTCTCTACTAGATCTAGATCTAGATCTAGACTACATCTACTATCTTAACAAAATTCGATTGTCTAAGCTAGATCCTAAAAGGATAAGAGTGTAGTTTAATACATTAGAATATTATACAACACATCTAGATCTAGATCTAGCTAGATCTAGATCTAGATCTAGTTATTAAAAAAAAAATCTATCATCACTCTACTCTAGTCTAGTCTAAAAATTAAAAATACTCTGCTAACTCACTAACTCTCTATTCTAACTATACTATACTCTATAGATAGATCTAGATCTAGTACTAGATCTATACTCTATCTGTCTAGCTTAGTGTCTTGTTGTAGAAATAATAATAATAGATTATAGATAATAGTATTAATAGATCTAGATTCTAGTAGATCTAGTAGTTTACTGAGAGTTTACTGAAACATAGCAACACATGAGTCTACCTACAGTCTACATAGTAATTTTTCACATAGTCTAAGACTTCTAGACTACTTCTACTAGACTCATTAGACTATTTATAATTATATTATTGGTGGCGCCAGGAATACTTTACTCAAGTCTTTAGATTTATTGTAGGCCTAATAAATTTTTTTATTCATCACCCATAGGCCTAATACATTTTTTTAAGCATCACCCACAAAATAAAAAAATCTGTCTTTCTTTTTCAAAATAAAAAAATCAGGCATTATTACAATTTGGAATTTAAATGATTGCATGTTGGCTAATATTGATTTTTATAGCCTAACTATGCTGATTAATTTTTCTTATTGATAAATATTTTAATAATTAGGCTAGTTATTATTAATAATAACCTTGTATAATTAATTAATTAAAGACCTATTTATTTATTATTAGGTTTTATATTAGTATATTACATTTCATTAGCCTAAGTGTTTTTAATACTTTAATTATTTTTTTTACTACATAGTGCATTTTACAACAGTTCTGACGCATAGACAATTTTTAGCTTTAAAGTTTAAAGTAACTTCACCTTAAAATATAACTTTCAGATAGTTTCTGTTTTACAAGTAGGTCTAAGTCTAAGTAATGAAACTCGACTTTTACAGCTGTTCAAATTGTGTGTTAATATATATATTACTTATTCAAGTTAATATACCAAATATATTAAATAATTTAAATCTAAAAGAACACATGTTGTAAGGAGCAATTTGTAAATGTTTCACTAAATACCCTGCTGTTTTAAATTCACTTTTTAATCTCAGCGGCTGGAGTTTAATAAAAACAAACATTTTTAAAAACTTTTTAGCAGAGTTGGTCTGATAGTTGTAAGCTCTATTGTTGTAGGTCATTTTAAATCACTTCACCTGTTCCTGCAACCACCTAGGTAAATAGATAGTATGGATAAAATGCTTAACTACACTTTATGACCACCAGAGTTTACTCAGACTTATTTCTCCTTGGTGGCACTGGTAAAAGTATATATTTTCTGTATATACATTCTATTTGGTTTGGGGGGGGGGGAGGTGCCTGGAGGAAACTCTGATGACCACATGTAGATGACAAGGCTTATGGTCATTCCAGTTCATATGGGAAGCTTAGGGAATCAGGCAACATTACAATTTTCAACATTACTAATACTTTGAAAATGAAAGGCTTATTATTTAAAAAGTTTAATTTAAGGTATAACAACCATTTACTGTTTACACTATATGTATAAGTAGTGTTTAAAATAGGTTTAAAATTAAGCTTACAAGTTACCTCTCCATAAATGTTTAACACCACATCGTGCTAAAATTTGTGTGTTCAAATTTTAAAGCTGCTTATAAATGCCATAAATTAAAAAAATAATGGAATAAAAAAAATTAATAGTGGGTTTTTGATAATAGATGTAATTTATTTTTCTTCTCTTTTTTGTATTGTATTATTTTCCTCCTTGTCTTTCTTCTTCTCTTTTGCTTTACAAATTGCATTTCTCACCCACTAAATATATATATATATATATATATATATATATATATATATATATATATATATATATATATATATATATATATATATATATATATATACACACACAGACACGGTATGCATGACTAATCTGTAGAAATCATCCAGTTGGTTTAGCTAAATTCCCCCCCCCCCCTTTGTTTTTTCACCTCTGGTTGAGCGCAGTTGCTGGCCTTTAGCCTGCGTATCTCTGCGACCTTGGCATTAGAGAAGAAACAAAAAAAAAAGGTTTATTAGTCTGGTGGATGTACTGTACAATATCTGATAGCACCGGGGTACCCACTGAGGCACTTCTTCGTCCACCGGTGGCCTGATCCTGTAGTTGTGTATCTCATGTTTTGAGTTTCTCTTGATGTTTTATTAAGCCAGTGTTGCTAGGTTACACGTGCTACAGCGATGGAATTTTCCACACTGAAATCCTGACCTTGTTGATTTCGTGACGTTGGGAGAAGTCATAAAGCAGATTATTTTCCCTAAACTTTCTTCATTTCTATCTGTTTATGTTAATTATTCCTCTATCAAAACTTTCCACCCACTGCCCGTGTTCTGTCTTTAAAAGATAACTTCACAACTTGACGATCCTATTCCCGTCCTGAAAACTCGTCCTTGACATTCCCCTGTATATTCACGTTTGATCCCAATCTTACCTTAATTACTTTAAACACTTAATTTTTTTTTTAAATGTGCGAGTAAATACTCCATTAACATCACCTGGTTTCCACGGGGAAACCCCCAGACAAAACGGAGCCTGGGACGCTGCAAACATCTTTTAAATACCACATTGGCTACATAAAACACTTTGTAGTGTTGCGGATTAAAGAAGATTGATTTTATAAAACATGTTTGCAACGTGAATAAAAAATACTTTAAAACCTTGTTATAAATCAAATTAAATAGTGATTAATTAGTCTAATCAAGTAAATATAAGTAAAAACTTTAAATAAATTATAGGATAGATCATTTCTAAAATTTCAGTCTTTTCACTGTCATCTAGGATGCCGGGATTTTGCAGTATCTCCCATTGGTGACACTTGTTACTTGTATCGTTTGGGTTTATGGTAAAAACCACCAGCCAAAAATGGCTCGGATGACTCAACCTTTGAATACATGCCCCCCATGCCGTAACATGTGCACATACCATTCAACCGAACTGGTTACGGTCTTGACATCCATTGACTTTAGGCACGAGAATGGTAATCGTCGCGTGCTATTTCAGAGGTAATGGCGACCCCCGCGAAATAAATGCACTATCAAAGGAAGTTTTTACTACTTGCATTTTAAACGTGTTACAACAAATAAGGACAACTTTTTATATTGTTAGTTTACATCTAACTCTAGTTTAGTAAAACGTGTGTTGCGTGATAGAAATAGTTATATTTTCTTCAATTTGTCTGTCATTTATTATTTTCATTTATTGATTATTTGAATTTAATTCGCAAACACAAAACACCCGCTCAGTGGCGTAGGCAGGGGGGGGGGGGGTTAGGGGGGGGTCATAACCCCCCCATAGACCCCTCGGTATATAGAAAAAGTATGAGGGGGGGGGGGTGCAAATCGAAAGTTTGAGGGGGGGGGGGTGCAAATCAAAAGTTTGTGGGGGGGGGTGCAAATCGAAAGTTTGTCCCCGGGTAAAAATTGTAACACCCCCCCCCCTTGAGACGATCCTGGCTACGCCACTGCACCCGCTATACATTGTACTCAATCCACTGGCATTTACAAGTACCACGAGACCTCTCTATTTCTGTGAATGTAGTCAAGTAACGAACAGCCGTGATAGGGGTTTGAAAACTGCCTGTTGATACAGCTGTTCACAAAACCTTTTGTTATGTGATAATTGCATAATCAGGAGAGGAGGATTGGGCCATTACTTACTGCGGCCACCCGCAGTCGGCTTGCAGCAATGCAGCGTTTAAAAACCTGAGTCATTTAATCATCCTTATTAGATGTGGTTTCAAAAGAAAACAACCCCCAAAAGCCAACAAAAAATAACGTTTTTTAATAATTAACTATAAGGTTATCCTTTGTAAAAACGTAATATTAGCTGGCTTGTTACAATGTTAGACAAGTGCATTATGGGGCTTGTTAAATGGACACTGGGCTCATGAAGTCGTTAGGCTATTTACATCTATCATCGCCATAATCTTTTCCCGTTTGCTGCAAAAACACATGGGCAGATAAAGTAGATTTCATTTGTTTTCCTAAGGTGAGTCAGGTACCCCGAACCTTTGATGAGTCAGGGACGTCCTAAAGACTCGAGCCCGAGTATCATCTATACTTACGTAAAATTTTGAGTGACTGACTAGGTAAATTCAATTTGGGGAACTAAATGAAAATGTATTTATTAGGTTAAAACTGGAGTGGTTGACGAATGACGAAATTAAATGTATGCTAGGTCATTTAAGTGCTGGAAATGGTACAATCTTCACTAGGCAAAACTGGAGGGCTTGACCTATTTAAATTATACTGGACAAAACTGTGGGGATTAGCCTAGTTACGTATATACTGGGCACAACTTAATGGTTTAATTTAGATAAATGTTTACTGAGTGAAACGGGAGTGGCGTAACTGGCTAGTATCGTAAAGTGTTTAAGTTATTACACGTAACGACATGGTAACACGTTCAAGTTACATATGTTGACCTACTTAGACTAGCAGAGTGCCCCAGTTAAAGTAGAGCCACAACAGCCCATGTTTCTAACCACCGGGTGCTAAACACCATCTTTGCCATCTGCTGTAGGCTGTAATTACCCGAGAGCCACGTCACTAAGTGCGGATTTTTTTTTCTCGTTTGGTCTGGACGAATTAAAGAGCTTAACGACATTATTAACATATGCTCGTCCTACCCAGATATTCAAACTTGATCCTTTTAATCCGTGTAACGATCTTAAAATATATTTAGCAACATGGGGTTCAGCTAGTTTTTAATTACAACAAGGCAGGACTCACAATCGATTCCGTTAATGGTGCGGCTTTTTTTTTCGCATTGTAATAATCGTGGTAGAATAAAAAAGTTAGTTTAACAGATCATTATCAGGTATTAAAACTATTTTTCTTCAAGGAAATAATGTCTAACATACAAGGGCCGTAACCTTCTGTTATAGGTTCACAGTTGACGTCACACATCGATGGGAGGGGAAGTGGAGGTGGGGCTGATTTTTTGACGATAATCATTGGGGTTTAGAAGTGTGACATATATACTTTGGAATAACTAAGAACAAAAGTAATTTTAAAATAATAATATTCATTAGAAATAAAGTTGAGGGGGCACAAGAGTTGGAGTGTTGACAGTCATTTTACTTTGAAGTTTTCCGACGACTTGTGTCTATAAAAGAATCGGTGAATGGTTAAAGATTGTACTCCGTCATTAATGGATAAGCTCTTCGTGTAATTATACTAATAAATATTAATAGTGAAATATTCTTTTCCAAACATTTAACAAGAAATAATATTATGTCATTTGGAGAAAAAAAAAGTTTAAATAACTGTTTTTGGGTTGGACAGATCGGAGCCAACTATCGAAGGCAGCAACTATGTATTGGCGCATACAACCCCGCATTTAGTCTTGTGTAGCCGCATGATTTTCCAGGTGAAAATACATGCTTCGTGTGGCCAGCAACTATGTGTTGGCGCATACAACCCTGCATTTAGTCTTGTGTAGCGGCATGATTTTCCAGGTGAAAATACACGCTTCGTGTGGCCAGCAACTATGTGTTGGCGCATACAACCCTGCATTTAGTCTTGTGTAGCGGCATGATTTTCCAGGTGAAAATACATGCTTCGTGTGGCCAGTGGAGCTGCACTTGAGCAGTAATTTTCTCAAGAACCAGTCATACATGCAATATTTTTTTTTTTTTTAAAGATCTAATTTACGGATAAACTAAAGTGTCAGTTTACCGACTGCGAAAGGTAAAATAAATATTTATGCAAACAAGTCCCCGGGGTGAAGTTTATTTTTTTTGACAAAATGTAATTTTCTTCAAACGTAAACCACCCCTTCCTGCATACACTTCTCACTTAATACAGCTAAATATTTTATTCTATTTTGCTGTTTGAATAAAATCCGTACTATAGATTAATATTGTTTGTAATATATATATATATATATATATATATATATATATATATATATATATATATATATATATATATATATATATATATATATACCGCAACATTTCTAAAAAAACGTTTTCTATGTTGCATCTCTAGCTCTAATATATCGACTTACGTTACAATAGGAAGCTTTGCTCAGCAATGTAACTAGTTAGGTGAAGAGTGCAATAGGACATTGATTAGACACAAGCCAGCTCACCGGTCCTTATCGCCATCAGTTAGCCAACGTTGTCGGTGGTTGAGAGATGCCACAGGCAGTAGATACGTCTTTACAGATATAGCTGACATCGGCTCAGCTTGCTCTACGCGGCCGTGGTCTATATCAGCCTGTGGTCTCATTCAGGTTGTGGTTTATATTAGGTTGTGGTCTATAGCAGGTTGTGGTCTATATTATGTTGTGGACTATATCAGGTTGTGGTCTATATCAGCTTGTGGTCTATTTAAGATTTTGGTCTATATTATTTTGTGGACTATATCAGGTTGTGATCTATATTTGGTCTGATTCAGGTTGTGGTCTATATCAGGTTGTGGTCTATATCAGGTTGTTGTTTGTATCAGGTTGTGGTCGTGGTCTATATGAGCATGTACGTGTGGGTCGACAACCGAGGTCTATTTGAGGTTGAACAGCCGAGGTCTACGTGTGGTTGGACAGCCGAGGTCTATTTGAGGTGGGACAGCCGAGGTCTACGTGTGGTTGGACAGCCGAGGTCTATTTGAGGTTGGACAGCCGAGGTCTATTTGAGGTTGGACAGCCGAGGTCTACGTGTGGTTGGACAGCTGATGTCTATTTGAGGTTGGACAGCCGAGGTCTATTTGAGGTTGGACAGCTGAGGTCTATTTGAGGTTGGACAGCCGAGGTCTACGTGTGGTTGGACAGCTGAGGTCTATTTGAGGTTGGACAGCCGAGGTCTATTTGAGGTTGGACAGCCGAGGTCTACGTGTGGTTGGACAGCTGAGGTCTATTTGAGGTTGGACAGCCGAGGTCTATTTGAGGTTGGACAGCCGAGGTCTATTTGAGGTTGGACAGCCGAGGTCTATTTGAGGTTGGACAGCTGAGGTCTATTTGAGGTTGGACAGCCGAGGTCTATTTGAGGTTGGACAGCCGAGGTCTACGTGTGGTTGGACATCTGAGGTCTATTTGAGGTTGGACAGCCGAGGTCTATTTGAGGTTGGACAGCCGAGGTCTATTTGAGGTTGGACAGCCGAGGTCTATTTGAGGTTGGACAGCTGAGGTCTATTTGAGGTTGGACAGCCGAGGTCTATTTGAGGTTGGACAGCCGATAACTACCGAGGTCTATAAGAAGTTGTACAGCCGTGGTGTACATGTAAGTGTAAGTCGGTTTCATCATCACTGCCCGTCATCCCTGCTGGGGTATGGGCCGCGTCCAAAGATCTTCCGAGTCCTCTATCCTGTGCCATCTTACTGACAAAACTGCCGTGCTTTGTATTTGATACATATAACTGTGTGCAATACTAATGCCAATGTGTGACCTGCCTAACGTTGATGTTTTTACCGTCCAGTTCTATTTTTTTTCTCTTTGTGTATTTCTGGTCCATTGTACATTAATGTTGTTCATCTGGTATATGTTGGTCGTACCCCCCCCCCCTTCCGTTCTGAAATGTAAACACACATTTTAAATCAGTAAATACAGGTTAGACGATCGTCTTGGTACAACAGAACCTGGCTTCTCCCCGCACACATTTACTTTCCTCTTTCATTCTACGGCCTATACTTGCGACTCCTTATATTTTGGCCAGTCTACTTGGACCTACTTATATTAAAATTTATGTAAAAAAAATCGACTCGAGCAACAAGACAGTATTAATACTTTGATCAGCCAAGCGTGAATACTTTTTGTTTCACTTCACTTTTAGTTTCACTTCACTTTTTGTTTGACATTAGCAGAGTTTTGAAGTTCTCACAAACAACGCACGTCTTGCTAACATCGATCTAAGTCTTTTAATATTTATAAAGTAAATTTTCTAACCACTGGGTTGTATTGATTCAAGGTAACGAGACGGGGTCACTATACATAACACCGATTGATCCGGACCACCCGTTATGTTTGTAGTTCTCTCTATAACTTTACCCTGAATATTTTTACTCATTGCATTGTTATTATACCCCTACCCCACACATTTATCATTAAATTTGTATACTGTACCCCACATATTTATTATCATTATATTTGTATTACACATGTACCCCACACATTTATCATTATATTTGTATTACACCTGTACCCCACACATTTATCATTATATTTGTATCACACCTGTTCCCCACACATTTATCATTATATTTGTATCACACCTGTACCCCACACATTTATCATTATATTTGTATCACACCTGTTCCCCACACATTTATCATTATATTTGTATCACACCTGTTCCCCACACATTTATCATTATATTTGTATCACACCTGTTCCCCACACATTTATCATTATATTTGTATCACACCTGTACCCCACACATTTATCATTATATTTGTATTACACCTGTACCCCACACATTTATCATTATATTTGTATTACACCTGTACCCCACACATTTATCATTATATTTGTATTACACCTGTACCCCACACATATATCATTATTTTTGTATTACATCTGTACCCCACACATTTATCATTACATTTGTATTACACTTGTACCCCACACATTTATCATTACATTTGTATCATACCTGTACCCCACACATTTATCATTATATTTGTATCACACCTGTTCCCCACACATTTATCATTATATTTGTATCACACCTGTACCCCACACATTTATCATTATATTTGTATTACACCTGTTCCCCACACATTTATCATTATATTTGTATTACACCTGTACCCCACACATATATCATTATATTTGTATTACACCTGTACCCCACACATTTATCATTATATTTGTATTACACCTGTACCCCACACATTTATCATTATATTTGTATTACACATGTACCCCACACATTTATCATTATGTTTGTATTAAATCTGTACCCCACACATTTATCATTATATTTGTATTACACATGTACCCCACACATTTATCATTATGTTTGTATTAAATCTGTACCCCACACATTTATCATTATATTTGTATTACACCTGTTCCCCACACATTTATCATTATATTTGTATTACACCTGTACCCCACACATGTTATCAGTGTATTGTTAGCATTTAATCCGCACATATCTTATCTGTAAGTAGTTACTAGATACACATTCAGCCCTCACGTTTCCTATTCTCTCTTACAGTTCCATCCAACGATGATGCTGACGAATGTGCCGAGGAGTTTTTTCAAAGGGTGAGTACTTGTCACGTGAACTTCTTTAAAAAATTTAATGGTGAAAAATTGTGGCCTTCTCCACCGACTCCCCTTTGCAGTACCCCTCCCCTCACCCCGCTAGAGAACTACACCCCCTCCCCTCTCCACTTGTACGAATGGCTGCAACAAGTCGATTCTATATAGCTGTAGCCAACACAAACAGTTGAAAGTGCTAAGCGTGTAAAAAGATGGGCTAGCACAGAGCAAAGGAGAGCCGAGGATTAAGGCTTGGTTACAGTGATTGATTTCTTCTCCAGGGTCTACCTGCTTTTTTTTTTAATACGTCTTCTGGAGTCTAGACGTTCGGACTTTTTTTGTCAAAGATCTTTTTTTATATAGAACCCTAGGCATTTGTATTTTTTTTAGCTTTTTTTTTTATAGAGCTCTAGAGTTTCAGATAAAAATAATCAGTTTTTTTAAAAACTGATAAACGTAAGTGTATAGTAGAGGTAGCCTCGTCTTGGTGATCTTGCTCTGTTAACGTTGTCGCTACATATTATATTTAAACAGCCTGCTAGATCTACTTTGTGTATTTATGCTGTGATTGTAAACTGGCTAGCCATGTATAGATACTTGGTATAGTGGCCTTGTAAATTTTACAAAGCAGAGTATGTTCTGGGTTCTCTGTTGACTTTAGGCTTAAAATACTTGACTTAAACATCTTAATTGTATACATGAACAGTTTACTAATGCATCTATTAATGGCGATTCATTTTGAGAAATTATACAACCCCCCCCCCCCGAGGAACAGCGTGGTTGGGTAGTAGAGCGTATGATTGCCAACCCAAAGGTCCCCAATTCAAACCCCGATCTGTTGAGGGGCGTTAGTTGGGTCCAGCAACCTATCTAGGAGAGACAACTCCAAAATCAAACAGCTCGTTAGCTGGGGACAGACACTGCTTTCTAGGAGAGACAACTTCAAAATCAAACAACTGCTGCCTTGTAGTTTGTTCTTGGTTGGACAAAGGCTATGGAAGCAAATCCAAAAAAGAAAAGCAGGCTGAAATCGGAGTCAATGGCCTCCGTGGCGCCTAACCAGTCGACACGTATACTTAATTAAGAACGAAGAAGAAGAAGAAACAGATTTTTCTTGGGTGGACAAAGGCTACGGAAGCAAATGTAGAAAGTAAAAGCATACTGAAGTCAACGGGTCGTATAGCTCATAGCCCTCCAAATTACAATTACGAACGCAGATACAGAAAAGACAAAAACCTAAGCCGACAATTCCACTTAACTAGCCATAAAACGGTTAGCCCAAGACTGAGTTTCCGCTGCCGCCCGCTGCTAGGCCGTGTGGGGGAGACGAATGTATCTGGCATGTTTCTAGCCGGCTGGGTGTAGTGGTCTTTGTCTCGGTGCCATCAGAAGGGGCCGTGTAATAATATCCCTATTTGTTTACCATAACGTTGTCGCTCTCTAAAGGTCAGGGGCTAAGTATATTGCCTTTAGCCTCCATGAAAGCCTGGGCGTCTTTATTTCTCTAAAGTTTTCTCTTACCCTGAGGGTACGTAACCTCAGGCAAAACGTTGTCGCGAGTTGTCACCCTTGGCAGGGGCGGATTATTCTTGCATTATTGTTTTTTTTTAAGGGACGCCCTTCTGGAAGTTATTTTGGAGCGTCAGGAATGAGGGGGGGGGGAATTCGACAATCACAGCTGTATGCAGTGGCGTCACTAAGGTCGAGTGACACCCCTAGCGGTAATCCAGGGTGTCACACCCCCCCCCCCCCTCCGCCATCTTCGACATGCATGATATAGTAAAATTATATATAACTTGGTGTCGCCCCCCCCCCTCTCGTAAAGTGTCATTCTTGTCTAATTATGCGGTTTGTCTATTTAATAAGATATAAACATGACTAGAAACAGCAGACTTCCTCAGTTTAAGGACTTTTGGAGGGTCGCTAACTTGTAGAATAAACTAAACAAACATATTCGTTGTAGTTATATGCGGGTTGCGGGTTACTTCGCTTTTTTAAATAAGGGTCGCCTCTAAAAAAAATTTTGGGAACCTATGTATTAGAAAGTTGAATTATTCTAGTAAATACAAAATTTAGTGTCGACAAATAACGTGGGCTGTGGTCTGGTTACGTTCCCATCCCCCACAGTAGACCCATGACAGCTGCAATCTGCTATGAGCGTTAAGACCTGGTTCAGCCAAAACAAGAGCAACTGGCATTTGGCGCTGGCCCAGTGGATGTACGGCCCTTGTAGACATGATACAATTGATTCTGGGTGGCTTAACATTTAGCTACACAGGCTGCGCGGCACAAAAATGTTTCCGTTGTAAGCAGCCTTGACAGTTGCTTTAAACGTCGGGCCAGGCTGAAGATGCGCATATGCTGCTTTTGTTTTAATGTTGTAACTGGAGGGAACATTTGTGACGAATTACATCATTTTAATACATTGTTGCCATTTGAATTTTCAAGACTGAAATGGAAAGTTTTCCGTGCAGATTATCTCTGGTCCCATGTATTCACACTACCTTGCCTAGAGCTGTATCTATATAGTGGGATGTCTTTATCGTGTCAAAACTGCCACTTGTTAAGACTGTACCACACACTTCCTACCCGATCTTTCTGCACCTTGTTAAGACTAACGTTTGCACAGTACAACGTGTTTATCGTGTCTAAACTGCCAGTTCTTGAAGAACTGAGTTCCTGCCGTGTCTGTCGGCACCTTGTCCAGACCACGTTTTTTTTCGTGTGTAAATGCCATTTTTAGTTGTTGAAAACTCAATTCCTCCGTGTCTGTCGACAACTTGTGCAGACCACTGACCAGAGTTTCTTCCAGGCATCTCTTCGCCCCCCCCCCCCGAAAATTTTTTACCACCCCCCGAACGAAATGAAAATAGAATATATAGAAAATATATACTTTTAACAGTGTTTCCCCCCCCCCCCCCCCGAAGAAAGTCTACCACCCCCCCCCCCCCAAAAATTTCAAGTGCCCCCCCCCCCCCCCCCGGAGAAAAAAGTCTAGAAGAAACACTGCCACTGACTCTATAGTACCACGTTTATTCTTCGTGTGTAAAATGCCATTTTTTGTTGTTGTTGAAAACTCACTTCGTCCGCGTCCGTCAGCACCTTGTCCAGACCACTGACTCTATAGTACCACGTCTTTTTCGTGTGTATAGTGCCATTTGTAAAGACTAAACCATACGTCTTGCACTATCTTTCCGCACCTCGCCCGTACCCCCTTATCACTGACAGGCTGTTGCCTACTACTTTATCTTTGGAGGACATCTCTGGTTGTCTATCTTATCGAGAGAATCTCACTTCGGGTGAAGTGGCTTATCCCCGGCGTACTTTATTAACCATAGCTATTGGATTGATCCCATGTCGCTCAGGTCCGTCTCACTAATGCGGTACGTGCCATGTTTTACTCCTGATTTCTGGCCCGCGACTAGACACGTCGGGATCTGGCAGTATAAAAATAATCAACGGACAGGTGGGGGGGGGGGGGGAATCAAAATTGTGTAGTTATCTAATCAGTTAAATAAGTTCTTTAGAAATATTCGTAACACGGTGGTGAGCGCACACCTTATTTCTGCACTGTATATCGTGTACTGGCTGTACAGGAGTTTGATTTCATACCCAGCACACCTAGCCTTACCTTCTCTCTTTTTCTTTTTTCTTTATATTTTCTTAAATAAAAATAAACATTTTTTTTTAAATCGCTGCGATATTTTTTTTAAACACAAACCTTGAACCAAAGAAAAAAGACCAGACAGAAATTGTACAATTGCTTTAACAAAAATGTTGCCAACTTGAGGAAAATAACAGACTCGTGTTTTTTTTTCTCCATCTGAAACATTATCTTAGCACTTATCATTTAAACTTGTCACGGTATACCCCCCTCACCCCTGTCCCAGATAAACTTGCCAGTGTCTCCCGGTGCTGGTATCAGGATGTTGACCCCGGCATCTCCAGGCCAGCCAGACTGGAATTCCATCTCCACCAGCCTGGCCGATGATCTCAATTTATTTCCGCTTTCACATCACAGCAACACGTGCCTAGCACCGGTTGAAGCAGACGTCTCATATGTTGCACTTCCGCGGCAATAGCTGTTTTCCTGCCTACGTTTTAATGTATTTCCTACCACCACTAGATTTACGGTTATAATCGTTTTTCTGCCTAAATTTTATTTTCTACCACTACTAGATTTACGGCAATAGCCGTTTCCCTGCCTACCATTTCATTTATTTCCCCACTACTACTGCGGCAATACGGAACGGCATGACCTAGCGGTAGAGAGCTAGACTGCTAACCAAATAGTTTTGAGTTCGAATCCGGGTTCAGGTCATTAAGTCCACTCAGCTCCGAAAAGTACCTAACTCACGTTAGGGAATAAAAGATGTCTGTGCATAGTCCTGACCACACTACCCCTTCATATGCCAAGGTTTCTACTTCATCTGCCCAATGTGTCTTTTGCACGAGCGAGAAAAGATGAGATGATGAATACGCCAAAATCCGTTTTCCTACTTATCATTTATTTCCCACCACTACTGCCGCAATAACTGTTTTCCTGCCTACCATTTATTTCCCACCACTACTGCCGCAATAACTGTTTTCCTGCCTACCATTTATTTCCCACCACAACTGCGGCAATAGCCGTTTTCCTGCTTACCATTTATTTCCCACCACTACTGCGGCAATAACTGTTTTCCTGCCTACCATTTATTTCCCACCACTACTGCCGCAATAACTGTTTTCCTGCCTACCATTTATTTCCCACCACTACTGCGGAAATAACTGTTTTCCTGCCTACCATTTATTTCCCACCACTACTGCGGCAATAACTGTTTTCCTGCCTACCATTTATTTCCCACCACTACTGCGGCAATAGCCGTTTTCCTGCCTATCATTTATTTCCCACCACAACTGCGGCAATAGCAGTTTTCCTGCCTACCATTTATTTCCCACCACTACTGCGGCAATAACCGTTTTCCTGCTTACCATTTATTTCCCACCATTACTGCGGCAAT